CTAATTACAAAAAACCTCCAGTTATCTTCAAGAATTAAAAATTAAGTCCTTAAAATTTTTAGGAAACACCATGAATCATTAACTTTTGCACATCAAATTCTAAAGTGTTCAGGATATGTGCAGAAACTATTTCTCGGATAGATCAGCATAAATGCCAAGAAATGAAGAAACTGGTATAATTACAAAAACTATCCTGAAGTTTAGCCTAATTACAAAAGGCTCCAATTGTCTTGGAAATTACAAATAAACCCCTCAAATTTTATTAATGCCCCCTGAAGCGTCGAACATTCTATTAAGACCACACAACTAAAAACGTAAACAGACAAAAATTTGCCATTAGGCCTAGTATAGATTCAAAAAACATGTCGTGGCCTTCCATAAATTACAAATAAAGCCCTCAAGAAATTACAAATATAACCCCCAAACGGTGGTAATTATGTAGCAAATACCCCCTCACGAGGCTGCATGTATTTAACAAAAGTTATCGAAAAATTGATTGTAATTCTGAAAAATATTTGACTTTTACTTTTTGGGAGGGGGGGTAATTAGGCTACAAGCCTACAACATAATGGTAGATGAATAGTCGTGATTTACCTGATCAAAAAGATCATCCCTGAGATATCTCCCGAGTGGCTTATCAGACGGCCCATAAAACTTAATCCGAACCAGCCGTGATCTCTCACACACACTTCCCTTAGCCATACAGTGACTAGAGAAGGCAACTAATATGCTCTGATGAGCATCGTTAGCTGAAAAGCATTCCTTTTGATTAATTCCGGTTTTCAGACTATTGGGAGAGAGTGCTTCACAGTATCCAAGTTCATTCGGCATGGAAATGACATAGTCGTTGGTGTGGCTAAGTTCAGATGGGGATTCTTGCAGATTGAGATCTGCTGATAGTAAATTAGTACTGGCGGAAGAAATTTCTTCTGTGTTAGCAAAAGGTAATGATTTTGAGTGTAATTTGGGAAGTTTGGCGCCCTCGTCCGCAAGAAAGGAGGTCTCGAGGGACAAATGATATGCTGCAAAGACGGCATACTGGACAACGTGTTTGACTTTCTTAAGTTCTTTGCGAAATGAGCCACGCAGTACAACCTACAAAAAATAATGTCCAAGATAAATAACAACTGCAGGACAGAGTATATATCAAGTAGTAGGGGCATTAAATTTTTTTTATGACTACAAACACATTTTTAAGTGATTTCCATTAAATCACAAAATATGCTCAAGAGTTCATTTGTATTCTACAAACGATAGGACTGCGAAAAGACCAATATGAAAATTATGGGGAACCATCAAAGAAAAAGAAGACAAAATTAGAAGTAGCACAAAAAAACAGGCATTACCGAGTTCAAGATAATATCTAATCCACATGGCAAAATAAAAAGTATAAAAAAAAAAAGAATGTTATTGAGAGAAGCAGAGTTCAATTACAGTACCGTGCAACCTAGGCGCCTGGGACAACCCTCGAAAAACATCAAAGTTTTAGATGGCTTCTTGTTAATTTGATTCATTGGCTCGTGTTCTTCCGGAACTTTCTCCAAGCGGAACAGTTCACAGTGCCCCAACCTCGTTGTGGACAAGTGCTCGATCGAGGGAGTTATACTAGCACCAGAGCATCTTGCAATCCTTTCCAATAGTGGTCTTTTAACATTTAAAACCAAAGATATCTCTTTCGCTAGTAAATGCTCTAAAGCAAATGAAGACACACTTTTCTCGACAAGCAGAACATTAGGACGGTGTGCCTCTATCTTCAAGACGATATTTTTCAAGTGATCATTTTCCTGATTTCATAAATTAAATTCATTATTATTTTTTTTAACATTGATGTCATATTTGTAAGAAAAAGAGGATTAATAATTACTTGTTGCAGTAATGTCTCGAAAGATGCAAGCTGATTGGGAACTCTTTGGTACTCGAGAGATCCTCCTAGAATAAGTAGCCTTGCATTTTTGTATTGGGATGTCATGCGTTTGTGCTTTATGTTCTTCGTACAAACTACTCCTTTGATGAGTTTGCTGCAAAGAAGACAGAATTTCATCAAGAGCTTATCCCAAAATGGCCAATTGTGGAACCAACATTCATGTTACCATAAAATAATATTACATATATAACAATAAAAATAAGCATATGTCATTTTATATACATAATGAAGTCAAACTGTATTATAATAAATCTAATACCACCTGAATTTCTGGCAGTGCTTGACGTTAGAAGGAAAAAAGAAAAAAGAAATCCCAGTCATCGGTTGTTGCATAATTCGACAGACCAATTACACTGAGGAAATACCACTTAAGATTTGAACGCTATTACTTGAATGTAAATTATAGTAATTCCTATAGAAATTGGTAGAACTTCTAGTGTAAATTGTCTGTCAAAAATTACGTTGATATGATGATGAAAGATCAATAAGTCTAACAATCAAGTAAGGCTGACACAAACAGTATTTCATTTTGCCGATTATGTTAATAGCATATCACCAGGAAAAAATTTATAGACAGATGAATAATTGGATATACCATATCCAAATGACTATTTCTTTAACTCCTCAAACTTCAACAGATGAATAACTGAACAATGTTAGGCTAACCTTTCCATTGCTTTTTTCTGTTTTTTCCAACTCTTTAACAGCTACAAATATGTTGGGGCAAATTACAAAAATGTAACTAGACAAACCAACTCGTGCATAAAAAAAGCTAACAAACATATTTTTTAAAAATAACTAAAAATAGGAAACGAAGTAGAACTTTTCTCAGATAAAACCGAAAAAACCCAACATATACCTTTCGCCTGGATTCCCAGAAGCCACACATTTGACCTTCAAATATTCACACGGATCCATGCTTCCACCTCTACTAGTATTCGGCTTAATAAACTTAGCAGCTTGCCAAGAAATAGCAGTCACAATATCAACCCACTCCTCACCAACTATTCCCTGCCCTTGCAAAAGTTGTGACACAAGTGCCCTAAAATGCCCCTCCACCACACCCCTCCACTTTTCCTTATGGTCAAAATCTCGTTTTTCCTTGTCCGAAAATACTGTATCAATATTAATAGTAGGGGAATAAAAAAAACCCGCTTCCCCAACATCATCATCCTCGTCATCATCATAAATAAACAATTTATTTCCCGTCTCGTCACAAAAATCATCAGGTTTGGGAGGGAACCAAATTGGGCCATTTGTCTCGAAATCTAACGGCTGTAGAGACTGCTCAACTTGGCTTGGACTAATATGGAGCCTAGAAGGGCTGTCTGAAGGGCTCGACCCTGAAGACATGGGGTTGTAAAATTCATGTCTAACAGTAAGACTACTCGAATCTAAGTCAGAAATATCATGTAAGTATTCCTTGTCATCTTCATCAATCCTGCATTACAAAAACATTGTAAACATATACTTTATCAGCAGAATGTGCAAACTGTAGCAATAAATTGGAAGGGGAAAAAAAAATAATTAAACTAACAAAACAGTTGTATGTAAATCAGTTATCCAGAGTCCTGTTCATAAGCTCTAACCGCCACTAGTTTAAAAGTCAAATATCAACAAATCCTATCAAAGGACCGAATTTTCTGTTCATGCTGGATTCAAATATCAATATCCAACAATTTAAGAATATTTCCAGGAACTAAACTATTGATTCACCTAAGTTTTTCTTTTTCCTCCCACCAACCACCTTAGTTAACTTTCCAGGAAAAGAAAAAGAAAAAAATTAAAGTACTGACCATCATTGCACATTCTTTTCATAATCTACTATTGTTATTCTAACATGTTTTTAAATATCAATAATGTAAAACTAGTATTTTACCAGTGCCAATATTAAATCAACTTCCATTATTACATTTTCCATCTCCTACACAATCATACACTCAAAAACTCATCATACCCTCCAAAAATAATGACGGTAAATGACGATAATAA